TCTTTGCAAACAATCCCCTCCCGTAAACACAACCCATGAGGAGGACGCCTCTTCCTTCCTGCCCTCCCCGCCAGCCCCCACGGTCTTCAGCTTTGGGGGGCTGCCCAGGCGAGAGCCAGCAGGATGGAGCTCCCACAGCCTGGGCCATGGAGGTGGAGCGAGCTGGACCCCGACTCCAAACACACACACACGCACGCACGCAGACAGCACTGGGCCACCTGGGCAAGTGTCTCCACCCCTATGAGCTTCAGTTTTTTCAGAAAATTTGGAAAATAGAGGGGCGCCTGGGTGGCTCAGTCGGTTAAGCGGCTGCCTTCGGCTCAGGTCATGATCCCGGGGTCCTGGGATGGAGCCCCACATCGGGTTCCCTGCTCAGCAGAGAGCCTGCTTCTCCCTCTCCCTCTGCCTGCCCGCCACTCCCCCTGCTTGTGCGTGCTCTCTCTCCATGTCAAATAAATAAATAAAATCTTTTAAGAAAAAGAAAATTTGGAAAATAGAAACTATAAGAGAGAAAGGCACCACAACCCATAATGCTGCTACCCAACACGCACCTCTGGCCGTTCCTTCCCAGCTTCCGGGCCCTCTGCCTGTGTTCATCAGGACCCGGGGTGGGCACGGGTGGGGGGCATTATCTGTGCCCTGCTGTCTGTCTGCCCTCTGAGTGACGTCAATTTCACAATCATCTGCAAGGGCCTGGGACCTGCTGCAGTTTCTTAGCCCTCACTGCAGTTCCTGACCTTCCAACAGTGACAAACCAGGCTCAGCATGGGAACGAAGATGGTCAAGAGCAAGGCGCAGGGACCCAGGCTGGCTGTGGATCCCGACGCTGGCCTCACCTCTCAGCCTCCAGCCCCCTCCCTGCAAATACAGATGACCGCACAGCAGCGCGGGGGTGGGAGCCCCCGAGATGACCCCGAGGGGCACTCAGCAGGAGCCCGGTGCAGACTGAGCCCTAATGACGCTGGCCTGGGCTGGGCACCCCATTGCTGCAGCCTGGCGTGGGCTCTCCCAAGGACCTGCGCCCGACCAGCACCGAGGCCCGAGTGCTGCTCCCGGCTCTGCCTCTGCTCCCTGGGTGGCCCACGACCCATCACAGAATCATGTAAGAGCCCTGGGCCTTGGGCTCAGCCGGTGGAACGTACGTAGGACTCTTAATCTCGAGGTTGTGAGTTCGAGGCCCACCTTGGGAGTAGAGATGACTTAAAAATAAAATCTTAAAAAAAAAAAAAAAAAAGCCCTGGGTCTTGGTTCCCCCGCTGCATCGTGGCTACTGAAAGTCAGCACAAAACAAGCGGATCCTAGAGCATGCTGGAGAAACAGGGACTGGGTGGTGAGGACAGGCCTCTCGGAAGAGAGGACACTGGGTGCAGATGCCAAGATCTGGATGCACAGAGAACAGCAAGGACAGGGGTTCTGAGGTAGGAGTGAGCTTGGTGTGGGCGAGGGACAGGAAGTAGGGGGGTGCCCAGCGAAGCATCCCCCTACAAGGGAGAAGGTGAGGGGAGAGATCCCGGGAAGCCCAAGTTTTCCCAGGGAGGCACCGTCCCCAGCTGCTGGGTGCCCTGAGAACTGTTTAGGACATGAAGGGGCTGGCTGGTGGCTGTGGTGGCAAAGGGTCCTCTGAGAAGGGCCCAGGGCACTTGGGATGCAACTGCTCATCCTACCCGTTTCCTGTGCAAAAGGCAGAGGGGACGGTGGGCTACCTACAGTCCCAGTGAACCAGTGAGGCTCGGGTCAATCGAAGGATAACAGATGGGCTCCTTTTGTGGGCCAGCAACAAGGGCACTGGGCGCCCTGAGCACTGGAGGAAACTGAGCCAGAGTGCGGTAATCTGTGATCCATTACCAATGTCTGCTGTGGGCGCTGGCAGGGAGAGTGGTGGCATGAGTGGCCCTGTTTAACCGCCCCCGGTCTAGCTTCACCCTACAGGATATAGCCATTCTAGAATACCACAGTGAGGTGGGTCGTGGGCTGACCCAGGAGGGCCAGAGGAAGGCACTGAGTCAACCGTCTCCCAGGCTTGAAGGCACCACCAAAATGAACCAGAGGACAGGCACTCGAGGCTCACAGAACTTTCTGGCAAAGAAAGATCAGTTCTTGTCTTTATAAGCTCTTCAGAGACAGTCACCCTATGGCAAGGACTGGGTGTCACAAGGCCTAGGGCCCCGGCTCTGTTATGGGAACCTCCACGAATGCTCTCCACAGGCCAGCCTCTTCGGCCTCCCTGCTGTTCCTCGAACCCTCAAACACGCCAAGTCTATTCTCACTGCACCTTCACGCTCACTCTTCCCTGCGCCGGGAACTCTCCTCCACGGCCGAGTCCTCGTCCAGGTTGTGGCTGAAATACCAGCTTGGCAAATGAACCAAAGGCACTCCACCCGTCTGGGCCTCGGTTTCCCCATTGTCATAATGAGAAGGGGACCGTGACGCTCAGGACTGCCGCCGATGGGTTGTATTGATGACGATACCAGGATTATTGTTAACACCACCAACAGAGAGAGGGCTACTAGGCTCTGCTCCAGATGCTTTATGTGAATTACATCACTTGTTCTTTACAATAGTCCTATAATGTTTAACTATTATTACCCTCATTTTCCAGATGGGAAAACCAAGGCACTGACAAGTCCAGCAACTTGCTCAAGGTTGCTCACGCAGGACGTGGGGTGTGGGTACCCAAGCCCAGCGCCCTGGTTCCAGAGCCTGCCTGGCTGCTCTGCCCTGCCTTCTCCGGGGGAAGCACAGGTGTAAGCAGGGTAGAGCCTGGAGGCTCAGGGGCCCTGTCTAGGAAATGCCATGATGGGACACTCCTCTGGGTGACAGTGAGGAGGAACTGAACGAGGCCATGTCTGAGAGCTCACAGGGCACACGGTGGCGCTGGGGAAGCATCTGCCATCTCTCCGGGACAGACTGTACCTTCTGCCCTGCCCGGCAGGGCTCACTGTGTCGGCCCCCAGGGCAGCTCCCAGGAGACAAGAGCAATGTATGGGAAGCACTTGGGGTGTGCTTCTTGGGGGCTGAGCACCTGCTGTGGCCAGGATCTGGGGGCACAGGGGCGAACAGGGCAGGGCCGGCCCTCAGGGCCAGGAAAGGAGGCAGGGAGGCTCATAGATGAGTAACTGCTATGGGCTGTGTCCCCAGCTGTGATGGAGGCCCCTAAGCTAACCTGAGGGCCCAGGGGTCTCAGGGAAGAAGCCCTGAGGGTGGGGAGATAGTAGCCAAGCAAAGAGGTGGAGGGGTATCCCCAGAAGGGGGACAGACCAGGCAAAGTTCAGGAAGGCCCAGGGAGCAAGGTGAGTTCAGGAACAGAGAGCAATTCTGGCAGGCCAGGGGGCAGAAGGAGATGCTGGGGTCAACAGGGTCAGACCAAAGCGGTCCTCATCCCCATATAAAGATGCCGAAGGCACCGCCTTCACCTGAGCATCAGGGAGGGTTTTGGCAGAAGCTGAGCATTGTCAGGTTTTTGTTCAACAATGACCCCTCTGGCTGCCAGGTGGGAAGGAGGGGGATAATGTACAGATGGGGAATCGCGGAAGGCTTCCTGGAGGAGATGACTTGGATGAGCCTTGGGAGAGGAGAGCTCAGCTGGCCTAGGAAGGTAGGAAAGAAGGGTGGGGAGTTCCGAAAGGGAGATATGAGTAGACAAAGGCCCAGGAAGGAAGGGCGGGGAGTTCTGGAAGGCAGAGCCATGGGGATAAAGACCTAGAAGTAGGAACATTTCTGGAACGCTCACCTGGGGAAGTGCAGAAGTGAAAACGAGGTCGGAGGCAGACCAGACCCACATGTTGGTCCTCGGATGTGGGGGAGGAAGAAGGCGGCAGCGGCTGCTCCCTCCACATGCACTCCCCCCTTCCCCCCCCATTGCAGGAGTAGCCAGCTCACCACCCGGGTTCCGCCCACCGGGCTGGGTGTCCAGCATGGGGTCAGCAGAGTCAGGCAGGGCGGCCGCAGCTCCCACCCTCTGCCGCCTGGACTCATGACCTGGAGTTGCACGGACTGGCCACTAGGGGAGCCTGGCCAGGAGTCTCACGGCGTGGGTCCTTGCAGGCCCGTCGCGGCTGGCTGTGACAGGGGGCACATCCCTCGGCCTCAGTTCCCCATCTGAACGGCGCACAGAAGACCAGTGGCCGTGGCTGTCATCTCTTGGACACCGTGCTACGACCTTCACAGGGAATGTCTTCCCAGTGAGTCATCATTCCCACCGTACACATGGGGAAACTGAGGCTCAGAGAATCACTTGAGGCCTTGTCAGGATTTAGAGTCCATTTCTAAACCACCAAACTTTCCTGGAAGTTACCAGGCTTGCCTCCTCCCCTCCCTAACCCCCCAACCTCAGGTCTACCCTAGTGTGAGCCTCCCGTCAGCACTACATTCCGCCACATTCCACAGGTGACCAGGTGACAGACAATATGCCACTCCCCTCTCCCCCAGCCCAGGCAGGCACCACTAATCCGTTACAGCCCTCATTAATCCCTCACTGCTCTACTTTCCCTTTGCTCCATGACATACAGCCTCAGAACCCTTCTTAACACGGCACTCTGGGCAGCCACTACAGATTGAACGGATCAGGCATCCAAGAGAAAACCTATTTGCCATCCTTGGTCCAGTCTCACTGATCACTTTATAGAAGACGGGGCTGAACCCCAGAAATGGGAAGAGACTTCTCAAGGCCACCAGTGACTTAGTGACAAAGCCAGGCCTGGGACCCAGTCTCCTAACTCGTTCCTGGTCCAAACCCCTCTCTTTGGTGAGCAGGGCCTGATGGTCCTTAGAGATGACACACAAGGCAAGGAGTCCCCAACACCCCCTCTCCACTCCAGTTCAACTGGCTCTACATCAGCCCCTTGTGGACAAAAAAATCTAAATGAAGGCTGCCTTGGACAGAATGGTAGAGGAGCCATGCTCAGAAGCCCCTCCCCGCGCCCCTGTCCTGGGCAGCTGGACTGCTGTCCCATCAGCCCAAAGCCTCCCCGCCAACAGTTTGGGGGAAAACAGCTACTCACCACTGCTGGACTTCCTTCTCGGTAACTGCAAGAGAAAAGAGAAGTAGCCTTTTAGCTCTGGGAGGTGTCTTAGGGGAGGGGCAGACCCCGGGGAGCCTCTTTCCTGCCCTCCCCAGCCCGCCCACCCCTGTCCCCGAAATGAACAGTCCCGGTCAGGAGCTCCGTGTCCAGCCACCCCGGCAGGGGACAGCACTGGCCTATCCCTCCTGAGGGCCATTGTGCTTCTAGAAGGATTGACAAGAACAGCCCCTTACACGCAGGGTTGGCTCTCCCTGCTGTCCTGGGGGGCGGGGGGGCCGGAAGGAGCATCACACCCAGGCCAGTGTTTGAGATATGCTGCGCCCCACCTCTCATTCCCAGGACAGCACCATCGGAGAAGGCACTCGGCTGCCCTGCCTGTGTGTGGCAGGCCAGGACACAAAGGCTGAGCAGTGCCCTGGGGCCCTGGCAACCCCCAGGCCCCTCCCCTCCTCAGCCTGCCCCTCCAGCCACCCCCACGGCAGTCACTTCCAGGTTTTTTACAGGCAAGAAGAGAACAGAGCCGTAAACCAAAACCTGGGACAAGCCACATAACGTGGTCGAACTTCCAACCAAGCCCAAATAGTCATTCTTTATTGAACCGTGAAACAAACAAAAAAATCTTTTTTTTTTTTTTCTGAAAAGTACTAAATTGGCTCAGATTGGAACCAAACCAGGGCTCTCTCTACGATCACTGAATGAGGACATGTAACCACCTCCCGGGCCACACTCACTCTCTGTGGGGGTGACTTTGGGAGGTGCCTCCAGCAACCCGTGCCTCAGTTTCCCCATTTGTAAAGCAGGAATAATAGGACCTGCCCCACGAGCTGTGCTGGGAATTCAATCAGAACAGGTATGAAATGGGTGTGAAAGCTCCTGAGTCCCTGGCACGGGCCCTGGCCCGCCTACGTGCTCCGTGCCCACTTGCGGAAGGAATGAATGTAGGTACAAATGAACAGACGGACAGGAAGGTGGGTGCCAGGTGGAGGTCAGCTGAGTAAAGGAATTGCAGCCTCCTCCCAGGGAAGTGGGAAGGGAGGCCCAAGGGGGTGTCCCTGAATTGCTGTGCCTGATTGGACTCGAGGAGGCCACTTTTCCAAAACCCGCTCAAAGGAAGCTTGTAACAGCTGCCGGATACCAAGAGCCCACTGGCTCCGTGCCAGGGTGGGCCTCTGTGCTTTGGCTCAGCCGCCCTGACAACAGCTCCGAGGGAAGACAGTGTTACTCTGTCCTGGCTCCAAATGGGGAAACTGAGGCATGAAGGGGCCAGGACATGAAGTAAGAGGGTGAGGCTCTAAACTCTGTGTCTGGGTCAGCCATCTGATCCACAGGCTGTAACCTGGTGGTCAGACCCCTGGGGCAGGCTGGAGGCCCACCGCCAGGTTCCTCCCCCCATAAGCCCAAATCCCAGGCAGAGGAAGAGGCCCGTCCCCCAATAGGCAGCTGATAAACAGAGGGCATGGCGACAGTGGGAGGTGCCAGCCACGTGGATTGGCCAGACCTGGAGTAAAGAATACAATTTTCCAAGAGTTTTGGCAGACGATAGAAGGTGGGAAGGGGGTCAGGTGTGGGGGTGGAGAGGGAAAGTGACCTTGGTCTAACCTAGGCTGAGGTGCCCTGGACTCGCAACCCACTCCTGGCAGTGAAGGGCAGCAGGGGCAGGGCATGATGCTCAAAGCCCGAACCTGGACAGACACAGGAGACCCATCACAGCATAGGCAGGAGCTTACGGGGAACCTACTCCGGAGCCAGACTAGGCTGCCTGGATTCAAACCCAACTCCACAGCTTACTGTGTGTCCTCGGGTAAAGTACTTCCTCTCTCTGAGCCTCAGTTCCCTCATTTGTAAAACGGGTTCTTGTGAAAACTACAATGGCTTGATGCTCTTTCCTGCATAAGAATCCCACAGGTAGGGGCGCCTGGGTGGCTCAGTCGTTAAGCGTCTGCCTTTGGCTCAGGTCATGATCCCAGGGTCCTGGGAGGGAAGCCCACATCATCGGGGCTCCCTGCTCATCGGGGAGCCTGCTTCTCCCTCTCCCTCTGCCCCTCCCCACTGCTCTAGCGCGCTCTCTCTCTCTCTCTCAAATAAATAAATAAAATCTTTAAAAAAAAGAAAAAAGAATCCCGCAGGTAGGTGGTAGTCCCGTTTTCCCAATCAGATTGAGGTTCAGATGAGTCCATTGCTTATAGTCAGCCAAGGTCACCTTGCCAGGAAATGGCAGGGCCAGGACTGCCTTCAGAGCCCAGGATGGACGCCCAGTTGGGTGCCTCCCCCACCCCGAGAGAAAGAGGAAGAGCTGCATGACCTTGTGTCACCTTGGCATCATGTGACAGGAACGGCGGCAGGAGCTGGGTGGTAAGAGTTTGGGTGGCAGATCCACTGCTGACCTCTGGCCTCACAGGGCCAGAGAAGGCTCCCCTGGAATCCCCTAGCTCAGAAATTTCTCCCAAGTCCCCAGGATGGAACAGCTAGCTACGTGGGGGGAGGGAACATAGTTGGCTGCCCCTCCCCCTTTGGAAATGGTACCCAGCATGAACACTGGTTGATCAGCAGGCAGCTAAGCCCCAGGGGCAGTGAGCTGGGGTGGTGGGCAATGGGCCCTCCTGATGCTTTAAGGAGCTAATTAACCTTTAGGAAACAGACGAAGCCATCAGGTGTCCCCTGGTACCATGCCAGGGCCAGCAGGTCATCACTGCCTCAACTGCCTGGAGCCATGGAGGGTCCTGAGTGGGATGAGCATCAGGCAGCCCTCTGGGGACCCAGCCACCTACCCGAAGCCCCTCCACTGGTGTCAGGAACCTGCAGGTGACCAGTGTGAACCTGACTGTCCAGGTGAGGCAGCTGAGCCAGAGACCTGAGGAAGGGACCCGAGGCCACGGCCAGAAGGAGGCAGGCAGGAGGTCATTGCCCAGGTCTGCTCAGTGCCGAGACCTGCGTTCTTACCATTCTGTCTGGGTTTCCAGGAGCTCAGCCATTCCCACGCTACCCTCTCGATTCTTCCCTAACCACCAGTCCGATGATTCACTCAGGATGTTTCTCTAAATCAGCTCGCTCATTTCACTGACTTGCCTGATCTAGATTTAGTCTAAGCACCAATATCCATAAAATTACCAATGACGTGTGCCGTTCGTATATTTTCTAATACACAACAAAAATATAACCGTGAAGATGATTGTCCTTGATCAAACCTGGCCTCTCCAATAGTGAAACACCCCGAAATCATGTGGCCCTCTGATTTCATGCCGTGGGAGGACATGGCATCCACGGAGTGCTCTTGCCAGAAATATTCAACCTGAGTCTAATCATGAGGACATAACCAGACAAATCCAGAAGGCGGGACATTCTACAAGGCAACTGGACAGGACACTTGAGTCAGTCAGTGCCATGAAAGGTAAAACAAGGCAGGGGATCATTCTGGAAAAAGAGACAAGACCATCAAATGCAACTCGCAAAGCCTGGATTGGGTCCTGGATCTGGTGTGAAAGACCAGCCACAGAAAACATTATTCGGATCGCTGGGGAAGCTGCACCATGGGGCGCCAAGTAGATGCCCCGATGGACTCGCTGCTGATTTTCTTAGGGGTGGGAACGGCACAGAGGTGGTGTGGGAGAATGTCCCTTTTCATCGGAGATATGCCCTGAAGTATTTGGGGGTGAGGGTCAGGATGCCGGCAGCTTCTTGTAGGAGGTTCAGAAATGTACGCACATATGTTTAGAAGGAGAAGCAGCAAGCCCCAGCAAAATGCTGGCCGCTGGCAGATCTAGATGAAGGACACACAGGTGCTCGCTGCACTGTTATTTCAATGTTGCTCTCGCTTTCAGAATAAAAGGTTGCCGGGACATATTTGACCTCATCAGCCCACAACCTGTGTGCGCCCCCATCCCCCCCTCCCGAGAGCGCGGGAAGGACCGGGGGTCCTGCAGCTCTGACCACCACAGGCACCAGGAGGGAGGAGGGGGTGGGGGACATCACTGGGTCCCTCTGCTCCACACTCCACCCAGATGCCAGAGCGACATTCCCAGGCTCAGGCTTCCCAGCTTCTCCCCGGGGCCTCCATCCAAGTGTGAAATTAAACAGGCGTCCACCCACACCGCGCTTGCACTAGGCGGGTCCACGCTCAAGGCTCAGGGCTCAGGACAACAGAAGGCTGTCCTCAGTGTTACCTCAGCCCAGCACTGCCCCCTCCAAGCCCCTCGCTAGCCATCCCCCCGGCTCCCTGGCTCCTGTACCTGCTGTTCCTCTGCCCAGGACATTCGTCCTCACCTCCTTCACCTGGGTAACCCTATGCACCTTCCCAATCCCCACTGGGATGTCCCTTCTCTGCAGAGCCCTCCTGCCCTGCCACAGCCCCCTCTGAAGCCCCCTGCTATGTGAGAATCACTGCTTCCTGCCTCATCTGTCTTCCCATCAGCTCCGCAGCGGAGGGTCAGGCCGGGCGCTGCCTGCCGGGGCCAGCTCAGCGAGGAGGGGGGCAGCGGTAGGACGGAGCGGTCCGCAGAAGGGGCCCTGGGGTCAGCCCAGCCAGCACTCCAGGCCAGGGCTCTGGTTGTGTGGCCCTGAGCAATGACTCCACACTTCGGAGCCTCGGTTTGCTCATCTGAAAATGGGACAAACAACAGCCTCTGTCTTAGAGGGGGAGGGTGTACGGAAAGCGCCTGGCGTGATGTGTGGCATCCAGCAGGCACTCAACGGTGCCACTTTTTCTCCTCACCCAGAGGCCAGGGCACTTCTCGTGGCATACCCCAGCACCATCTGGGCACCCGGCCCGGTGTCCTGCACACGGGAGGCAGAGAATAAACCCTCGATTTCCTCAACATCACCAAGCCACTTGGCTGCATTTGGGACACACCCTACTGTGTTTCTCAACACGTTTACTTTTACAACTGCCATCGGCTTTGGGCACCTTTACAGATGAGCTGCCTTTCTCCAGCCCCCTCCTGCCTACAGGCCAGGGAGCCCCAGGCTCATTAGGAAACCAGTATTTAAAACCACATGGCTGAGGCGGCC